CCCCAAAACCCCAAAACCCCGAATTGCACAAATTTTCAGTTAAAGGAGTAATTTATACTTTGAATATTAAACCAAATATACTATATATTAATTGTATAATAAAAATAAGAATTTAAAGATTTAAACCAAGCCTCAACAATATTCGTGAACTGATTAAAATGCAAGTAAATCAAACCAATATAAGGAATCATTCAGTAGACAATGTCAGAACTTAAAACGATAGAGTCTAGTAACCAGCTTAGATTCATCCTCAAAACAATGTATTCTCGTCAAATCAGAGGGCGCAAGGATTATCAAGACCTATTAATTCTGAACCTGAATTGCATAAACAAAGAATATTTAACTAAGTAAAATCTAAAATTTACACATCTAATTCGCTCTTGTCAAAGCTAAGAAATAATCCTGTCAATACATTACAAGCATTTCTCTAGAGAGTAGAGTGCTAAGTTAAGGTACCAGAAAACTTGCCTGAAAATGAACTTCATTAATTTCTACTAAATGAACTATGCACCTACTTGACAACGGACAGGGGTAAATTGATGATGTTTTAAAAGAGCAAATTTGTCACATTCTTAGATCTCTATCTTCATAGCAACAATAGAAGTAACAGTGGAAACAATTGAGGCAGTTCTGGAGCATAAGAAGCAAGTGCTGGGAATGCACCGAGAACTAATCCAAGAAACAGATAGGTCTCTACAGCAGTTGATCAAAGAATGTCTCTAGATGTAGATAATCACTAGAACACAGTAAACTCAACAAACTCAATAAATGGAAATCAATAGAATGGCACAGCTATTTTAGCCTAAACATCTCCAACATTAATTAGAATTCCGATGAATCCTATGTAAGTATTGTCGAATTAAGGGTAAGAATTTGAGTTAATGATTTATTGATAGTAATAGGAATGTAATAAACGTTGAGTCTCAAGATTGTATTGAAAAGGTTAACCCATAGGTAATTGCTAATGTTGTTGATAATACTTAGATAAATGGCAATCAAAATTATTTATAGTTAAATCCTCCACTATAAAAACAATAAAACTCAAACAACGCTAAGACATAGCCACTAAGTAGTGAAAGACCTCAGTTATTGATTAATGATAAGATTAACAAAGTTAGAGCTTAAAAGCTCTTGTAATTAAAGACTAAACCAAATAGTTATTCTATTCATAATTTAACTCTAGAGGCTCTTGAATTGATGCGATCATAGTATAAGATATGCTATTTTGATGATATAAGTTAATATCCTTAATCTCTTGCTAATAACTAAGTGTTTTGTATTTGTGATGACTTTTTGTCTTCCAAAAAGGAGTTGATTTAGTGCACTTAGTGCGGGTACAAGTCTCATGTATAGTGCATGAGCACCAATGCCAAAATGAAGAGATTTATGTGTGCCTAATGCCAGCTTTTGTATATTGATCCATTGTAAATACCAGTACAAACTGTTTTAAGGCCATTTTTAGTTCATTAAGCACAAGATAATGATGCTACGCTTCGAGATACTAAAAATCCAGCTTTACCTAAGGAGTGTTGTAAAAAGTTTACAATAACGAAGTAACTCCTTGATTAAATTAAGTAGCAATCCAGGATTTAAAATGTAGACAATGCAAAAAATACTCCAAAATTATTGATTTAACTTAGATGCATCAGAATGAACAATAAGGATGGCCTGCTTTCTTAGAATTTCCCTTAATTTGGATTTTACAGAGTTAACCTTGACAATAGAAAGCTAGCTCACCTAAAAATAGCTGAACCGCCAAATGACAAGAAAAGACATGACAAGTTTTATGATTTGACGGATATTCTCAAGAATGGAGAAAATTCTCTAGAAATTGTCTAGATTTTCAAAAATGACAAGGATCCATTTAAATATGCCTGTGGTATATTCATCGTTAGAAATTTTGAGTAATAAGAATTAGTTAACTATGTCAAAAATCTCTAACCAGTAATTCCTTTCTAAGAAGGATTATCGTTGATAAAGAAAAGATTCGAAAAGCCAGAATGCCTAACAAATTAAGAGGGTAACTATTCTCATTTATTAATTCATTATAGACTTCGAAATATGTCAATAGGACATAAGGATAGACTTAAAGTGCTAGTTCACACAAAAGAAGATCATCATCCCAGTGAAAGGTCAATGGTGTGAGCACGATCTATGCTTTGACTTGGAGAATTATATAGGTATGAACTAGAACCCCACAAGTCGCAAATGGATTTGCCCTTGCTAGCCTAGCGACAAGCCAGTAATACTAAGAAGAGATGAATTCACAATGAAGCTATTAGAAATAGCCAAACCTGATGAGGATGTTTTGCATATTACTGAAAACTTAGAGATAAAATTCAAAGATAATAGATTGTACAAAATTTAAGGAAATAAATTCGTCTTAGATGGATAGGATTCAAGTATCTAAGGCCCGGAGGCTGCAGAATAGAATGAAAATTGTAAGTAAAATTTATATAATAACCAAGTTCTGTAGTCAGTAGTCTGGGGGACTTATAGCCTTAATCATAGACCCCTCAAGCAATAGAATAGATCAATAGAAATGTAGACTCTTCAATCATTGAAGAATCAAAAGAAGAGTTTCTTGTGCCTTAGCAGTTTCCAGTTCATAACTCTCATGAAAACGCAATGCTTGGAAAGAGAAAAAGGATGAATGACTAGTAACTCTAGCAATCAAAGAGTATAGAGTTGAGAAATCCTAATGACAAGACAGTTAATGGGACTGTAAATGGCTACTAAGACTTCCAGATAGACTTAGACTGTTCAGATAACTCTGAGCCTCAGTAAAATAAGTTCTTGAAAAATGGACTTTACAATATTCAATCGGAACCCAACAAAAGGATTCAATCTACTTTCTAAGGGCAGATGTACTAGCACCACAACAACCAGATAAGACCTCATCAACAAGGCATGATTCCACCAGCATTTCATTAAAACATGATGAACTAGCAATAGTATAACTAAAACTATGCTTATGCATAGTAAGTTGTACCTATTTAGCAGCATATTTACAATGGTAATCAAGCATAAATTTCCCCCTAAAGTGTTTATGTAATGTCAGGAGATCAAAGCTATTATGGTATGCAACCAAGTCATATGCAAACATCTGGAATAATGCCTCAGAATGGATACTACTCTTAAGCAAATTTAGATTTAGTGAAATAATAGATGCTCCATACTTAGTAAAAGGAATTCTAAGACATGTTCTAAACTCAAAATTAGTAAGAAGTTAGCAAGCAAACCACTCTAAGGATGAAAGACATAGTGCCAACAAACCAACCCACCCAGAAAGGAAATTCCCTAAAGAATACGATACTCTCAAAGAATCCACAGATCAGCAGCATGTATGACTAGAATGGCTAGTATATCAATCACCAAGGACAAACCTAAAGCAAAAATAATGCACTTAATGATGTTGCTAAAAACATGATAAATGGAAAAGAAAGTAAGTAAGCTTATAAGAAAATATTATATTGACTCACTTTTATTTAGAGAATATGATGGTGCAGAATCATATCAATAACACTGCCACTATCAAGTCATAGATCAATAACTCTTCAGTAAACAATATGCACTAAACGGGAATGGGGTAAGCCTAAGGCAAGACTGAATTGAAAATGGCAGGAACTAAGCCAATTAACTCAATGGCAACTACACAGCAAAGCCCAAAGCAATAAATCTCTGGCAGCAATCAAAGCTAAATAATAAATAGTGGGAGTGGCAGCAGTAAATTGCCGTCATCCCTGACAACTACAACTAATATTTCTAATTTAAGCATACCTTAGGTGCAGTCGCCTCATTAATAATAGAAAGCAGGTTAATTTGAGTTAATAGAAATTGATGACTGATAATGAATAATTGATATTAATGATGGTTGATAGCGGTGTAAGTAGATTATAATGCGCTATTTATTTATTTTGGCATGCTAAGGGATCAATCTAGTTGTGTAAAATTAGTGCTCTGATCGTGATACTATATAGATATATAGTTGTGACATTTTATATATGTCTTCAAAATTTAGACTAAGATTTTATTTCCAATTTCTTTTTAATTCTTATTATTGGTCTCATGGGGTTTTGGGGTTTTGGGG